TTTTTACATTTTTATTTAGTTACATTTTTAATTAATATTTTTTTCTTTTTAACTATTTAAAAAAACAAAAACTTTTTATTGTATTGCTATATCACACAGGGAATAATAATCCCCTGTGTGATAGCATTTGGAGGTGACGGGTACTCTTTATTGACCCTGTCACCTCCAACACAGGAGTTCTAGCACAGCACTGTTGCTAGAACTCCTGTGACAGGAACGAGCAGTGGCCGCCGGGGACAGAGGCTGGGGGAGGTGACAGAGCCTGTCACAGCTCCACTGTCCGGCTCCGTCACGGCTCCACGCCCCTCTGCTCCGTCCCCATCTCATTCAACGCTTCGTCCCCGCTCCGTCACGGCCTCTGCTCTGTCCCCATCTCATTCAACGCTTCGTCCCCGCTCTCGGTGCTCCACGCCCCCCGCTCGTAGCGCCGCTCTCGGCGCTCAAAGAAAGCCAGCCCTGCTATTTGTCCGTAGCAGGGCTAAAACAGTGCAAAAACCACTTGCCCGGAACTACATGTCCCGGGCGTCGGGCGATACGAATTCCACACCCCTGTGTAATATTTTTTTTTTTTTTCATTCTGTTTTTGTGTTCACTCACAGTAGCATCTTATGAGTTACTTCTAATGACAATATATGCTATTATTTGGTGGCCATCCAATGTTGATGTTTTTTTAGATGGATGACAGGGTTGTGACCTCCAATTGGCATCTTCTGACTCTTTGGCATTCAGTAACCTGATTTGTGCAACTGCAGCTACCATGAAATGAGTCCTACTTTCTTTGGTTCAATAGTTCTCCTTTAATGTAAAAAACTATGAGGTTAAGGCTTTTCCCCATAGTTCTCCTTAGGGTAACGGGAGGACACAAACTAGCATCCTCCCGTCACCCTAGGCTCAGTATAGCTCGCGGTATACTGAGACGCCGCAGCTGAAGCGGATCCCGACAATTATGTCTGGATCCACCCAGCTGCATGACTGACAGCTGGCTTTGCCTATCTAGAGGCAGAGCCAGCTGTTCCCGTCCATTCCGCCAATCAGTGCTGGCGGGGAGGGGGGAATCCAGCCCCTCCCCTGTCACGGCAGAGAGCCGTGACAGGATCGAGAGGTGAGCGAACGCCGGTATGTGTTCGCTCACCTCCCGATCTACTGAGCCGACCTGTTTCATTGTCACAGGTCGGCTAGAACTATGAGGTGAGTGAAAAGCACTCACCTCATAGTTCTCCTTTTAAAGAGAGTTTAGCAGGAAGGTTAAAACTTCATGATTGTAGAATGCACTGGAGGAACGGACAGGGGAGGGGGCGGGCACAGCTGGCTCTGCCTTTAGAGAGGCAGAGCGAGCTGTCGATCAGCCAGCGGGGTGGATCTCTACAGCATTGTGCGGAGCTGTGGCGCGGCTTTCTGGTCTCCGAGTTTTGGGTCACCGGAGGACATTATTGTATGTCCTCCCGTGACCCGGAGGAGAGCTATAGGCAAAAAAGGTTGTTCCATAGTTCTCATTTTAAATAGCTTTATAAATGCCACAGGTTTGCTTTAAGACTATCAAGCAAGACTCTTTATCATAAGATATTAACAGAACCTTTTTATTCTCTGTCTCCTATGGGAGGGATTTGGATGGTTCACCCCCACAAATATGTAATCGTGGACATATGAATTTTGGGGGGATTGACCATTTTGGGCTTTCTCTGTGTCTTCCTGGTTAGATCTTTTAAATAATTGTCTGTTTGTGTTCTGTTTATAGACCTGAAAGAGCTTCAGCCGACCAAGACCATTTAAAATACTCTACTTCCAGAGACCGGGGCAATTCTGCCTCATATGGATCACATACTTCCAGTTCAGCTGGGCTTTCTCGACAAAAGCATGATGATATCAGGGTGTCTTCTGATTTGCACAATGAAGAGGAAGGTATGGAATTTAGAACAGTATGATCATTAAAAAAATAACTTCTATTGTTTAATCCTTTTGCTGCCACCGACATTTGTCATACGTCGATGGCAGCGGCCCGTTTAAACAGACTCCCGGCGTAAAGCTGCCGGGACTGTTTACATTTGTAAAGCCGGCTGCCGCCAGATCACTTTCACGGGCCGGTAAAGTGCCCGCCACCCCCGCCGAGTTTTCCGATCTCCCCTTACCCTGCCCGCGGCCCGGAGACCGGCATGTCGGGTGCCAACAGGAAGCAGGGGAGGAGAGCAGGGAACTTCCAGTCACTGCTCTCCTCCCTGTTCTATTGGACCGGGAGCAACGCGTATTGCTTCACTTCTGGTCCCTGAGCTGTCATTGTGATCTGCACTTCAATAGCTTATTTAGAGTAGAAAGGTGTGACACTTGGGATCTTTTGGACCCCCAGTATCATCTTAAAAGACGACCTGTTGCCACCAATATGCTATCACATAGGGGGGCTTATGAGCCCCCCCTATGTGATGGCAATTAAAGTAAGAAAAGAAAACATGTTTTTAAAAATATTAAATGTAAAAATATTCAATTTTTTTTTCTTTAATGAAGTCCGCCAGGAGCACGCATTCACGTAAACACGTGCCTACGTATGAAAACGACTTATCGCGCTACACGTATTGCCGCGCACGCCAGAGTGAGAGCAATCATTCTAGTGCCAATATTTACGTTATCCCTAAACTGATGACCTGTAGAGGCTTTTAAAACATCATCTATGGACTTTTTGGGGTACTGAACTTTGTCGCAGTTTCACGGCTGCGTGCAATTTTTAACCTGGGCTTGTTGGGTATCTCTTATTGTAACCTCATCTTTTCTATTTAAAAAAAAAAAATGGGTATTTGTTTGGGGCACTAAAATTAACTTAAGTGCATTTTCCACAACATTTTTGGATTTGATAAACAGTTGCGCTAATTTCGTGCAACGTAAAAATGTGCAACTGCCGCCATTTTTTTTTCTTTAGATGGTCTTGGCTTTCAGAAAATATAAAATGTTTGGGGGTTTGATGTCATTTTTAGGCCTAAAATGTAGATTATAACGTGTGCAAAATCCTGGAAAAAAGGCCTTGGTAGCGAAAGGGTTAATGGGAATTTTAATAAAGATTTCAGTGTATGTTTATGTTGTGCTTATTACACAACGAAAAGGTGGTTAATTCACATGTATGTGTTCTTGCTATATGGTTTTAGATGGCTACAGTGTCAATGGAGGATCTGGAGAAAATGCTTTTGGTCGGAAGTCGTTGGGGCAAGAGCTGAGGGTTAACAATGTGAGCCCTGATTTCACTGTCCAGCATGGAAGCCGTGCTTTAGCAACAAAAGATATGAGGAAATCCCAGGGTAAGTTTTTTTTTTTTAATGAAATTGCTATATGCAGCCCATTACCGGCATTCACGATTAAATCTTTTATTGGCAACATCTTCAATAATTTTCTGTTTAGCAGTCATTACTTGTATATCTAAAACTAAAACTTTTTTTTAAAATTTTGGACAAACCAACTGTTGTGGGTTTTTTTTTTTCGTTATCTATCTTCATTTGGGGAAGATTTCTCCACTTCCTTGAATGAGGGAAATCCCCTCATTTATTATTGCAACAAGTGTCCCCTTTGGAAGAGTTCATCTCTATATTCTAGTGGCAACTCAAAATTTAGCATTTTCCCATCACTTTCCCAGTGATATTGGTCACCAGGACAAATGGGTAAATCTCCCTAGTGGGGACACAGACAGCAAGTACCAGATAGGTGTTCTAATCCTACTTTTTCCAAAACTTAAAAAAAAAAAAAGTTTTGGGTCTAGGTTTACTTTTAACCCTTTCGCTGCCAAGCCCTCCGGAACATTTTTCAAATCAGCTGGCCAAGCCATTTTTGAATTTTCTGCAATTTTTTCCTATTGGTTTGATTTTCAACTGCTGCGTTGCTAGCGTTTGTAAAAGACCCCCCAAACCATATATTTTCTGAAAGCGCAGGCCCGGTAGAATAAAAAGATGGTGATACTAAATTTGTAGGCCCTGCGATAATTGCGCAAATGTTTCTCAAATTAATATTAAACCGATAAAAATACACAATTCAATTGTTAAAACACACCAAAATCAGTATCCGTGCACAAAAAAAATTATTTTCTGACTAAATCTAAAAGATAAAACTGTATTGAGTTAATAAATAACAAATATTAGCAAATTTGTAATTGCGCCTTTTTGCGAAAAGGTAAAAAAATGAAGGTATGCAAAACTGTAAATAATCGACTTATGTAAAAAATTGTTTTGGTGTTTGTGTTGTGATAAAATGATACAGGTGTATATTTAATTGCAACACAAGGTATCACAACGCATGGCAATGAGTCACAAAGCTTTGCCATGCGCTGCCACAGTTAATTTAATGTTTTTTTTTAAAGAAAAAAAATAAAAAAGATCATGCACTGCGATGCGTTCTAACAACGCACTGCAGCGCATGTGCATGGTGTGCACCACAATATGTGTGTGTTATGTGGGGGAGGGAGGGGTTGTGCTTTTTTTTATTAGTTTGTTTTTTTTTTTACACTTTTTATTTTTTTAAATTTTTTATTTTGTTTTACATTTTTTTTTTAAAACATTTTTATTTATTTTTTAATTTTGTATTTATTTTTTTTTTACTGTTGGGGGGGCTACGGTGAAATCTCTGGGGTCTAAACAGACCCCTGACATTTCCCTTTTGAAATAGAAAAAGAAATTGAGGACA